GGGCCAGAGGAGGCCCCAGCAATGATCCAAGGGCTGGAACCCCTCTGCTGTGAGGAAAGGCTAGGAGAGCTGGGGCTATTCAGTCTAGAGAAGAGAAGGCTGCAGGGACACCTTCTTGTGGCCTTTCAATTTAGAAAGGGGGCTTAAAAGAAAGATGAGAGTTTTTTTCACCAGGGCATGTAGTGACAGGACAAGGTACATCGGTTTTAAACTGAAAGGTTAGATTTGGATTGGACATAAGGAAGAAATTCTTTATTGTGGGGGTGGTGAGACACTGGACCAGGTTGCCCAGAGAAGTTGTAGATGCTCCATCATTGGAAGTGTTCAAGGCCAGGTTAGATGGGGCTTGGAGGAACCTGGTCTGGCCGGAGATGTCCCTGCCCATGGCAGGGGGATTGGACTAGATGATCTTTAAATGTCCCTTCCAACCCAACCCAAATGATTCTATGATTACACTGGAGAGATCATCTGCAGCTGCTTCTTGTTTCTAGGACTGGCTTCGTCAGGGCTGGGAGCGTGATGCATCTTAGGGAGCAGCTAACTGAAAAGGGCCAGTGTTCCAGCTTCACCAACGCTGAGAAAGGTAACGTGCTCTCTGGGGCCTTCCCCGGGCTGCTTCGCTGTGCGCTGTCTCATCCAGGCACCAGGCTGACAACTTAATTGTACGCTTTTCCCAAGCACGTGTATTAATATGCCTGCTGCGCTGTTCACTGATGTCAAAATGCAGATGTAAAACACTTTCAGCTTTTAAAACTCTACAAGCTTTTCAACTGAAGTTTGTGCTGAATTTTTATGATAAGACAAGAATTGCTGGGTCTCTAACCTGGTGGTAGCTGGTGCCAGGAGGGGAGAGGAAGATGTAACAGAACAGGATTTGAAAAAGGGAAATTTCATTGACCTTTATACTTTTGAGTTATGCCCTGATAAGTCCATCCCTGATGTCCCCGCTAGAATCCAGCTGGATTTATCATTTTGCCAAGATCAACTTGTCTTTGAGTTCTGATAAGTTATTTGGGGTTCCTCAAAGACTGCAGTCTGCTTAAAATAAGACAGAAAACACCGACAGCCGAAACCCACCGTTCTCTGGTTGCGATCACCACGTTCCCATCCGTGCACAGCAAGGCCGCGTTGTAGTTTACAACAAGGAAACGGATTACACCAACCCCAAACGTCACTGCAGCAACTTCTAAGTACCTGGTTGCTAAACAAGGGGCCTTGATTCTTCCAGAAACAGCAGGTATCATCTCTGTGAACGGCCCTTGTGTTTTCTGCTATCGTATATTTATTTTAGCCAAGGATAGCTGAACTGTTCAGTTGCTTGAATTTCCGTAGCTGTCCCTGATTTCACTTTGAGTTTATACTTTTTTGGAGTTAGTAACTGTCTGGTAAGGTCTCTGAGACAGCGTTGCTGCCATGGCCTGGCTTGTAAGAGTGCAGTATCTGAGGGCTAGTTTGTTAGGGTTTGTTTTTTTTTTCACATTGCATTAACTAAGCGCTCTCAGCTTTTAGCCCAGTTGTCCCCTTACGCAGAGTAAAAGGAGATGCCAGGTTCACGAAACGCTGGCTCGAGTTTCACTGCCAGCTTTTGCCTTCTGGATGCAGTGGGGCAAGGCAGTGTTCCTGGCGTGGCGTGACCCGTGCTCTTCTCTGACTTTCCAGATCCCGAGGAGTTCCTTAATCTCATAATGCATCAGATCCTGGGAATAGAGCCACTCTTGAAACTGCAGTAAGTTTTCATATCTAAGCGACACAATTTACCCAGGCCAGGCTCATTGGGTACCCACCTCACGATCACTGGGTGTTACTGGCCACCTTTTCATCAAGGCTTTGCAGACACAGCTCAGTGAGTCGTGTGCAGCTCCTCTCTGCTGTCCGTGTGATCTTGCTGCTTGTGATCTTGTCCCAGGTGACGCGTCCAGGAAAAGACACTTCGAAGCTCTCCCTGGAGGTGCCTCCTTCAGAAAATTGCAATAAAAACCTTCTGTCATCCTTAGGGAGAGCCAGCAGTGGTTTCAGAAATGTAGTGTCCCAACTTGAGTGCAGAGCCAGCGCTGTCTGACAGCGTTTGGATGCAACTGGGATGTGTCCAGACTCTCGAGCTGGCTCAGGTCCTGCAGCCTCTCAAACAGGCAGTCCATGGATGCAGTCCCAGTTTTTCAGGACTCTACAAAGAGGATGAGAGGCTGAAGGAAGCCAAAAATAACTGTGCTGTTCGGGAGCATAGAAGGGGATTGTTCGGTTTCTGTGCTCCTTTGTTGAGACGTCAGTCAAGCCGTAGATCGTGGAGTACTCGGAGAGGCTGAGCACAAAGATGGCTCTGTACTGCAGCTCCCCTGCAGAGGGTCATCTGAAGGAGATCCTTTTTCTGCTGGCTCAGGGAGGGATCTTCTGCCCACAGCTCACCTTTGAAACGCACCAAATTTTGCTCTCTGGCTTTTGTGTGTGCCATTATAAAGAGATCTTTCATCTGAGAAGGCGTTTGCTGATTGGGCCGTAGTGCAGTTGATTTAAAAAATGTTGAAGTGCCTTTTAATATTTACATTGGTGAGGGGAAATTGAGTTTTGCCTATAGGAGCAGGATGTGATGCTATGGAGGGATGATTAGACCGAAGATGCTACTTGTATCCTCCTCTCATGGCACGTATTTAGTATTTCTGGGTGGCAAAAGTGCTTCGTGTCAGTGTTGCGCCAAGAAGCCCTTGGTGCCTTGGGCCCCAGAAGCTCTTGCAGGACAAAACCGGTATGTCCTCTGGGAGCTCAAGACGTTTGTAGGACCATGTAAACAAGCCCCGTGACCACTCCTTGCAGGTCAGGAGGCCAGAAGGAGCAGGACTGTTACTGTTACCAGATATTTATGGACAAACAGGAGGATCTGGTGGTTCCCGACGTGCAGCAGTTAGTGGAACGCTCCTTCCTGTCCTCCGATCTGAAGCTAGTGGAGGTGAGCCCAGCTACCTTCCGCCTACACTGCTGTCTGCTCCCTCTTTCTCGCTTCCTCTGACGTACCCATGCCTGCCAGTGAGTCTGTGATGGGTCTAGTACATCTTCTATCCAACACTGCAAAGCAGCAGGATACGTGGCCACAACCTGAAAGAGCTCTTGGGGAATCTGAGCGTGACCTGGGAAGAGGGCTGTGCTTTCCCATCTTGTCTTGTGGATATCCAGAGCAGAAAGTTTTTACTCCCAGCAGCAATATGGAGAGAAGAGCCTCTGAGACTTGCGTCTTCTGGCCTGGTGACTCATTTGCTTTTCTTTTCCCAGATCCCGTCTTGCTTCATTATCCAAATGCCACGTTTTGGGAAGGAATATAAAATGTTCAGCAAAATTATTCCTTCCTTGGAGCTGGATGTAACAGATCTGCTTCTGGACAGTAAGTTGCTGGGCAATGGCAAAGCTGCTGGCTGGGAGTGCTAGCAGCTGGGTGACAGGTCTCGCCTCTTGGGGTTGTGAGCAGATGTAAGGTGGGATTATGGTGTGATTCTTCTTCCCTGAACTCCAGTTTTGGCAGGACAAGTTGGATTTCAGGTGAGATCATAGAATCAGAATCATTAAGGTTGGAAAAGATCTATAAGATCATCAAGTCCAACCATCAACCCGTCACCACCATGCCTACTAAAACATGTCCCAAAGTGCCACATCTACACATTTTTTTAACAGCTCCAGGGATGGTGATTCTACCACTTCCCTGGGCAGCCTGTTCCATTTTCTTTCCTCTTTCAGTAAAGAATGTTTTCCTAATACCCAATCTAAACCGATCTGGAGAAGACACATCTTGCCCCTGTTGCCTCTGCAGGTCCCAGGGAGTGCTGCGTGTGCGGCAACGTCGCCACCCTGGAGTGTTCAGAGTGTTTCAAAGACAAGGTATTCGCAGCTACGGGCCTGAAGCAGTTCTGCAGCTCCTGCTCCAGACAGGTACTCAGTTCCTTTGGGTTCTTGTGAAGTCTGCCTTGGTGGCTGCCAGCAGATTGAACCCCCCAAAAAACCCCCTTTTCCCTTGCAGCCGTTCAGGTTGGGCACAGAGGGGCCCCTTTCTGAGCATCAGTCCTCCATCAGCTGCATGAGCGGGGTTAGGTGCCACATGTTCCTGAACCTGGATAGGCTGGAAAGCTGGGCAGAGAGGAACCTGATGAGGTTCAACAAAGGCAAATGCAGGGTCCTGCACCTGGGGAGGAACAACCTCATGCACCAGTACAGGCTTGGGGTGGACCTGCTGGAGAGCAGCTCTGCGGAGAGGGACCTGGGTGTCCTGGTGGACGACAGGTTAACCATGAGCCAGCAATGTGCCCTGGCTGCCAAGAAAGCCAATGGGATCCTGGGGTGCATCAAGAAGAGTGTGGCCAGCAGGACAAGGGAGGTTCTCCTTCCCCTCTACACTGCCCTGGTGAGGCCTCATCTGGAGTACTGTGTCCAGTTCTGGGCTCCCCAGTTCAAGAAGGATGAAGAGCTACTGGAGAGAGTCCAGCGGAGGGCTACAAGGATGGTGAGGGGACTGGAACATCTCCACTACGAGGAGAGGCTGAGGGAGCTGGGCTTGTTCAGCCTGAAGAAGAGAAGGCTGCAAGGGGACCTTATAAATGCCTACAAATATCTGAAGGGTGGGTGTCAGGAGGATGGGGCCAAGCTCTTTTCAGTGGTGCCCAGTGACAGGACAAGGGGCAATGGGCACAAACTGAGGCACAGGAAGTTCCATCTGAACATGAGGAAGAACTTCTTCCCTCTGAGGGTGACGGAGCACTGGAACAGGCTGCCCAGGGAGGTTGTGGAGTCTCCTTCTCTGGAGATATTCAAAACCC